TACTTCGCAAGACCTTGCCCACCGATTCCACACTGGTCCCAGTCCCTCCAGGCGGATCCTAATGAGCTAGGGATTTTTGTGACAAACATTCAGAACGACAAACGGTAGGCAGACGACAGACGACAAATGAAGCGCTTTATATTATGTGGGATCCTCTTTGGCCGACGTCATAGTTTGCGAATCGAGCGATTCGCTAGCGCTAGCGAATCGCTCGATTCGCAAACTATGACATCGGCCTTATCTATGGAACCTCTCGATATTGGACTTCTAATCTAATCTCGACTCTAGACTCGACTAATCTGTACAGTATTAATTACCGGTCACTGCCTTCCTCGCACTCTAACGTAGTTTTCATTTCCCAACCTATATCGGCCTGCCCTTGCCTTTCACGGCTAATGAATAGCGGCCTCTCCATCTGAAAAAAATAAATGTTAAGTCAATTTTAAAGCCCCTCGGTTGAGTCTGGTTAAAACCTACTCTAAGGTAGGACATTTTCTTAGAGCGTGTCGATAGAATGTTCGGTGTCGTTCTGAAAATTCAGGAACCACATACCGTGATTCTCAATAAACTTAATGCATTGGAAAAACCAACGACTCACTATTGCCGCGGCTCAAGATACCGACTTCGTGATAAACATACTTTTCGGGTTATATGTATAATATTAAATCTTCTAATAGAATGCGGTTCAGAGTGAAGAGGTAGAAAAATTTGAAAGAACACGAGGACCTTACTCCACATGGCTCTGACTTTAAATCAGCTAACCCTGTACTTGCATATCCGAATGCATAAGGTAATGTGTGCCACAAGAAACGCTGATAATCCGTTGTCGCTCTTGGAAGCATCACTTGGCAAATAAGTATGACAATAATTAGACAAAACGTTGTGGCGGCATACTGAAAATATAGGCAGTTGTTGCGGTAATGTTCTTCGATATACTCCGGTCTCCTCATTAATATATCTTCTCTTTCAACTTATCCCATAACTTCACACGCTTCAGCATGCTTTGGAGGCTAGCGAGAAGTGAACGGCCTCGGCCAAAGAAGCTACTCCGAATTGGGACGCTGGACGTAGGATCGCTAAGTAGAAAGTGTTGCTGACCCGGGAGGTTGCTGATCTGATTCGCGCAGGTAGACACTCACATCTAATCAAAGTATAGTTGGGGGAAGGCATTCATATCTTATCATATCTTTCACTGAGTAAGCGGCAAACGACCAGTTCGTCACACTTGTCCTATGGCGAAAACGGCTGTCACCTTGCTGACTCTTCACTTTCACCAACCCTTCTTGCGATTGCCATGCAAGCCCTTGGCGAAAGGGCCTTTCAGGTATCCGATTTTGTACGGAATCCCGGGTTGGTATCCATATCTAATCGTGCACTCACGATCAGAGCCTGCGCTCTGAATGTTGGTTAGATATTACCGCTCCTTCGCAATTTCACTTTGATTGCATTACACTTCGATATTGCCACTTTGATTAGACATCATAAGTGGCTTCCGCGAACTACATTTTGTCCGGTTGAGAGCTCACTCCCCTCCGTTATCGCCTGTACTAAGAGAATGAGAGACTAAGCGCGGAAGAGGAGAGTATGAGGCGAGAGAGCGCAACAGATGAGAGAGCGCCTGATAAGAGAAAAAATCTGCAGCTTCAGCAGCTTACTTTGCAAGGCCCAAGCGCTCTTGTCGGTTGGTTTCCGTGCACGGGAACGCCACATTTGTGATTGTCCTCTAGGGGGTCTATACTACAGACCAAAGGGAAGCGTTCACACGACTCTGCCTGGGTTGTGCATTTAAGAGTTTTGAAAGGAGCAGAGCTGAAGGAACATGCAGTGGAAAATTTTAATCACACACCTGTAAGAAAAATATCAACTCTCTTCTGTTTCTGGCCACATCTTCTTGCTGTCGCGCAACACACATTCTCAATCTGCGAGCTATCATTTCCTGGAAAATAACCTTATCCAATATAAGACGAGGGTTTATTTATTCAAAGTTGCATGCTCATTCCAATCAGCAAAACTTCTCTGGCCTCGTGAATAAGTATTATAATATTATAGTATTTCATCTATCAGCTACCCGAATGATTTGGTGGCACTTGGAAAGTATGGTAAGAACACCAGTGTTTTAGAATATGGGTGCGCATTATTAAGCTAGCATAGTGCGTATTACTGATGATAGAGCTGTTCACTAAATGCTAGCTCCTACACATGAACATAAAACAGATTTACCGCATATTCCTAATTTATCTCAACAGACCTTTCGGTGCAGGGTTCTATGTTACGACAAGTGGGGGGGGGGAGCGTTGATGTGATCTTCGAGTTCATGGCAGTTTAGGGCATGTAGTGTGTAGGAGCGAAAGAAATTTTGGCGTTTCAGTGTACGCATATACTTCCCGCTCAACGGCTGTTTGGGGAGGGCGGAAGTAGTGGAGTTTGGTGTGTCGATCGGTCTCAGAATAAATGCTATATGAACAGCGACCATGATGGCGAGGGTGGTGAAGGGGTCGTGAAATTTTTGATTGGTAGAGAGGGTCGTAAAAATTCCGGAAAAGTCGCAACGGTGGGACCGATCTTGCTTCGGCAGAAAAGGCAACATGTTCCATCAGAAACTCTAAAAGCTTCACCTATTTTCGACCTTTATAAAGAGTGTTTCAGTAAACCAGCACTTCACCAGAAATTCTCGAGAAAGAGTTCAAAAAGTAAAATGAGGTGGAGCTGCGATAAACTGCACGATAATGGTCATACTTCGCTGTACAATACATATGGCCGATAGCCTGATCCGAGCCTAACTGGAAACGAATTTCGGGTAAGCATACATCTACTCTTACTATCCTGCTAGGTTACACTAGATGTACACTCGTGCGCCCTCAACCTTAGGCATCCATGTGCATTTAATAAATGCTCGGCTCATTACTTCAATTCGAAGGAACGCTGTATACGTGTGAAGATTTATGTTTTGCTGACATCAATATGAGATGCTCAGAAAGCCATTCGAACGATGAAGTCAAGATGACATGTCCGTGTGCTTTGGCTACTAATGGGACATGACTGGTTTGTCGAACTTCAATATGCCTCCTTCATCTATTTTACAGATGCCTACAGTCGTTTTGAATCAGATGTACTGAGCAGATTGGCTCCAAATCTTTCGGAAGTTGTTCTTCTGATGATCGCACAGAGGCATTGCTTCTGCGTAACTACAGTTGGCAGTTTCGGTCTACTATAAGCTGTTGCATCTCGAGGTCGCGGGAATTTTCGGGGATCTTTGTTTTGGCCACGAGGAGCAGATCTCAAGTTCAACAGTAACAGTCGTATTCGTGACACGTCAAAATTCACGGCGATGGATATGTCCAAATCGTGCGATGAAGGAATAGACCTGATCCTTTGGGTGGTAAGCTCATTCTTCCTGAATGTATAATATGACTATATCGGTTCTCCTATAGAGATCGAAATCTTTGGTAAAAATGCAGGGGGGGTGGGGGGAAGGGGTG